TTCTGTGCCATGTGGGTCACCTCCGGGGTGGAGATTGAACTTACACTGAAGCAGCTGAGGCTTAACCTGCTGTGCCACCAAGGAGGGCCCCAGCTAAGTTTTAATTGAGACATTTTGATTTCTGAAAATACAACATTCCGGCTCTAGGCCCTCCCTAGTGGCGCAATGGGTTAACGCACAATATTGCAAGCTGGCCGCAGCCGCTTCAGGGCAAGTTTGATCCCTGGCCTCTGGAGCTGACCCACATGGTGCGGCAGACGTGTCCTGTCTCACCCGCTGCTCCCCTCAGCAGTGTGCTTTGTCAATCTGCCTGTTCTGCTCCCCACACTCTCTGGTGAATCCTCTGGCCCCTGCACCTCTGGCCTGCACCCCAGTTCTGTATGCATGAATAAATACATCTTTCTTAAAATAATATGATAGTTTATTTTTAGATCGTTTTATGCCTTTTTCCATTGCAGTTGTAATCCCTATGGGCTTCCCATCACCACATCACCCGTGTGCCATCACCATAATAATAAATCTTTTTTTTTTTTAAGCAACAACAAACATTCCGGCTCTAACTTCACAAACAAGCAGCTCCAGTTATGCTTCCCAGAAGAGCATCAGGCAGCACATACGCGGATCAGTGCAGTCATGTCCTTTATCTCTCTGCAGGGAAACTGGTCTCTCAAAAGATTTAAAATGGACCGCCAGGGTGTGACTCAGGTGTTGTCTCGCTTGTCGTATATATCTGCACTGGGCATGATGACGAGAATCTCCTCCCAGTTTGAGAAAACAAGGAAAGTGAGTGGTCCTCGGTCCCTCCAGCCGTCTCAGTGGGGGATGCTCTGCCCTTCGGACACCCCTGAAGGAGAGGTAAGGCTAGGTCAGAGATAGAGCCTCCTCGGTGTTTGAAACACCTAGGAGCGCATGGTCCGCGGCCTTAAGTGGACTCCGGCTCACATAGGAAACAGAGGCAGCTGCCAGGAGTTTGGCTGGGTCTGCGCCCGCCAGCCCTCACCCTTCCGTGTCGTGTCCTTTCATTTCGTTCCTTTCATTTTAAACTTCTGAAGCAGGAAACCCTGTTAGGTTCGGCTGGGTCCCAGCTTCCTCGCACAGCACCACATTCATAAGCTGACTGAGGACCGGTAAGCGGTGCAAGTTCCCAGTGTTAGAGTTTGTCATGACTTGAAAGAGTTGAAAAATAGAAGTCCTCGCAGAGTCATGGTTTTTAGGAATTACCGTTCTCTTCCTAATTTATCTTAAACCATATGGCATTCACAGTGAAATTATGCGGCTTGCCAAGTTTGCATAATTTACAATTTCTACAGCTTGAGCCTTGGAGTGCTGTATTTCCCAGGCCGCAATGAAGTGCATGTTCTGTGCATCATTACAGCAGATGGTTTTTAAGAGTTGATGATAGACTGTTTACCTGCCACACACCTCTCATGCGTTTTTTTCTGTTGCTGCATTGTAACTTATTTTTACTCCTGTTAGAGATTTTTGTGGTTGTATAGAAGAATTTAAATATTTTTTTTCATTTTGCAATAATTGTGGGCATACCAAAAAAAGCTGCAAAGATACTATAAACCTTTTCCATGATCCCTTAGCGACATTGCCAAGTGTGAGCGTCGCACCTCAGCATGGCATGGCATGTGATTTTTACGTCGACCCTTGGCCCTCATTCAGATCGTGCCACCTGTCCAACCAGTGTCTTTTTCCGATCCAGGATCGCACACAACTGGAGTTGTTGTGTCTCATTCACCACAACACTGCCGTCTGCTATTACAAATATTACCATGCCGAGCATTTCTGTGGCTACGTCTATGTTTATGTTCTTGCTGGTTACCGTAGGGAAAATTCCTTTGGGTCCGTGCATGTCCAAGGCTTTCGCATGAATCGCCACAGTGTCCCTCCAGGGTGGTGGGTGCGCCCATGGCTCCCCGCACAGCGGTGAGCTGTTTTCAGATACAAGCTGCACTTTATGTTGCTGGTGCTTATTCTTGGAAGTGTCTCTTTTCATTTCTAGGCATGCGGTTTGGTTAAAAACTTGGCCCTTATGACGCACATCACAACTGACATGGAAGATGGACCCATTGTTAAACTAGCCAGTAACCTGGGAGTAGAAGACGTGAATTTGTTATGTGGGGAGGAGCTCTCTTACCCAAATGTGTTTCTCGTCTTCCTCAACGGTGAGTATGCTTTGGAGACAGGTGGATCCTAAATGATCCATTGGGGAGGGAGAAGAAATCTATTTTTTTATCCATGTGTTTAAAGCTCACATAAATTCCAGACCTAGGTAGCTATTCATTTAAAGACCAAAAAAAAAAGAGTCCAGAATACACATTCCATGGGCTGGGCCCAGGGCTGAGGGGTTCCGCTGTCATCTGCAGAGCAACGTTGCACAAACTCATCGCCTTCCACACCCTGCAGCGGCCAGCACAGCCACAGTGGGTGAGACTCAACATGATGGAATGTCCAGGCTCAATATCTGAGACGTTCTGCAGAAACAGTCAGATCAGCCCTGGTCATTATGCTCAGTCACTTGGTGACTGATGGTCAACAGGCTGCAGCAGGAGGGCCCTTTCCTGCGGCTGGTGCTCGGGTGGCTTCTTCCGCACCCCCTTGCCGCCCTCTGGAGACGTCGCTGCGAGGCTGCTGCTGTGCCCTTTCTCCTTGTCCTGGCTGCGCGGGGGCCCGTCCTCTGCCCTGTGTGCTCCAGTGCTGTCCCGGCCTCTAGTTCCCAGCTCTTCTCCCCTTTCCTTCTGCTGCTCCTCATAGCATTAACCACTCACCTGCTGAATAGAGGTGGTTAGACCTTGGCAGGGCTGTTAACTGGCCGCCTCCGTCAGTGTCTCCCTGCAGCTCGCAGCGAGTGAGCCCTTCTTTACACCCAGTACCTTTCTGAGTCCTCACGCTAGCCCGAGGACACAAGGTCCGGTTTCCTCATTTCACATTTTGTGGTGGGGATGACCACAAAAGTAGCTTGATAGTAGCAGTTACTGTGTGCCAGGCAGAGTTCTAAAGTAAGTGCTGTCTGAGGCCAACTCATTCAGTTCTAACATTGAGTCCACCGAAATGATAGGGCTATTGTTGCAGCCCGGGGAACCGACCTCTCGTTCCTCTTCCTTGAGCAGCTCTGACAGGTGAGGAGAGCGAGACCAGCTCACCCAGCACCGCCAGCCAGCAGGTGGCAGGACCAGCTCTCGGCCCTGGGACCCCAGCCTGCCCTTCATCACGCCGTTGTATTGCTTCCCAGCTCTAGCTGTTGATAATAGAATTGGAAATGACCCCCATGTTGCTTTTCATTTTCATTGGGTGGATATTTTCAAGCCACGTAGATGTCTTTTATTTCTGTCTTAAATACTGCCACTTCTTTTTCCTTAGGTAACATCCTGGGTGTCATCCGAGACCATAAGAAGCTGGTGAACACGTTTCGACTGATGCGAAGAGCAGGCTACATCAATGAATTTGTTTCCATCTCAACAAATCTTACGGATCGATGTGTCTACATCTCCTCTGACGGAGGGCGGCTGTGCAGGTAGATGTCGTGGAAAGGAGTTTGTAAGACTCTTTCTGTTTACTTTTGAAAGAAATATTTCTTTCTGAAGTTGCTTTAACCGCTTTCATTATTAAAATAAACTTAATGCAGTTAGCGAACACTTCAGAATATGCATAGTAAGTAATGAAGATTCAAGAATGAATGGGAGTTACTTTCTGTTCTCAGAGAGTCCGGTCTGCTGGCAAAAGCAGAAATACTGATAACAGCCAACTATATTGGTACTAAATGTTAGCTGTTAATTGTAATTTTATTTTTTAAAGATTTGTTTATTTATGCATACAGAACTGGGATACAGACCAGAGATGCAGGGGCTGGGGGTGAGAGGGTTCACCAGAGACAGACTATGTAGCAGAACAGGCCGACTGACTAAAATACACTGTTGAGGGGAGCAGCGGGCGGGTCAGGAGAGGTCTGCTGTGCCATGTGAGCCATCTCCCCGGCCGGGAATCAAAGGGCTTCATGGTGCTGTGCTTTCACCTGTTGTACCACCAGGGAGGGCCCCCCCCCCCCCGTTAATTATTATTTTAATGGATGTGCTGTGTGTAAGGCTTTAACTGCAATCAGCCCGATAAAGTGAGATTATTATTTTCACTTAACAAATGAGGAATTGGGGTAAGTGAGGCCTGGTAACTTAGCCACAGCTGGATAGTGGTAGCCTCTGCTTTTTTACTTAGAATTCACCTGACTCCCTCCAGGATAACTTAACACCCTGTGCTGTTGCTTTGAACTGTGAAGGATGAGCTGGAGTGTGTTAATTACATAATTACATAAAGGAGGAAGAGACTGAGGAACACAGGACTGGAAAACATGGAGGCATTAAGAAATAAGGTCACAAAAAATAAAATAAAAAAAAAAAGAAATAAGGTCACGATGGACTAGTCAGAAAAGCATCTATTGACTCGTTCAGCCAGTATCCGGGGTTGACCAGGGCTGGTACTCGAGGGGTCTCGAAGATGGGGCGCGCGGTGTCTGCTCTCCTCGTGCACAGCCTCCGCTTGCCTTTGTACAGTCACTGTGTGGGCTGCGGGTGACCTTAGTGCGCAGTCAGCGAGTAAGCAGCGAGGAGCTGGACGGCCTCTCCTTCGTATGTCTGTCTGGCGCCCTTCCAGTCACTCCCCGCATTTTCCTTAGGGGACTGTCCCCGCACACTGGCATCTTCTTGGGTCAGCTGGTCAGTACTTTCACCTTCCCAGCCAATGGTCAGGCTTATGGCCAAGCTAGGCCGGTCAGATGCTTTCCTGCGGAAAGTTGGGGCCAAGTAGAGTAACTCCAGGAATAGGTGCTTGGCACTGATTTGACTGGACTGCCACATGCGAGGGGCTGTCCGCACTCCCCTCGCGGGGCCTGGATGCTGCCGAGCCCTTTCCCTCCGAAGCTGGGGAGTGCACCCTTTTAAAATTACTACTCTTATCCTTCCAGTAGACTCTTATGTTTTTGGGAAATTTCCTGTTGGCTTAAATTAGCCAGAATTGGTTTTTATTCTTTGCAACCTAAGGGTCTTCATTGCTGGTAAGCCCCTGAGCTTAAATCCTATCTCCCCACTGCTGATTCGGATTCAGTGATTCAGAATCACAGTGATTCTGATCTGATTTATCAGTTAAGCTTCTGAATCTGACTTTCCTTGACTGTAAAAAAGTAATAACAATGCCTCCCTAGCATTTTCCTGGGAATTGACAGAAGGTATCACAGTGCCTTACGTAAGGTGCAAGGAGCGGTAATAGGTAGCTGTTACTGTAGGGGTGGAAAAATAATGACATCTCTAGGTTACTCTTTCCTAGGACTTTTGTCATTCATTACATTCAATATGATGAGCTACAGCCTAGAAAAGGAGACAAATTGCCTTTCGGAAGTAGCTTGATAATGGGCGCGTGGCTCGGGCAGGCAGAGTTCGCAGAATATACGGAGCAGAGTAAGAGGTAACAGAGGTGGCCGGAGTGATGCCCACCCTCTTCTCCTGCTGCTTCTGGCCCCGCTGCTGAGTCTCCTAACCTGGACTCAGCGGTGACCACAAGCTGAGGGGTGAGCGCCCTGCCCCCGCCCCCGCCGAGAGGCAGCCAGGGTGTGAGGGAGTGTTGATCTCACCCAGTTCACTTCTCAGCAACTTGTGTTTCCCTTTTGTAATTGTGCAGCTCTTCTTCTTAGCTGTTGAAAAGTGCTCATTAGTCCTCAAATAGTCACTTGGACTTTCGGGTAGAGTGCACAAGTGTCTAGCTTCCTCGCTCCTCGCAGTCAGAGCTGCTTATCCAAATAGCAACAGCTATTGACGTCTCGGTACCACATACCATCCTTTGTGCTGGTGTTTCCTCGTGGTGGCGATGCCCGTCGAGGCAAATCACCACTGACAGTTACAGGTTAATCTACCAGAACGCGTAGAGCAGAAGCTCTCTAACTTGCCTCGCTGTGTCGCTAAAATCACAAATGAAGATGCTTTATTGCTCTGCAACTTTACAGCCGCTCTCTCTGGTCGTGTGCAGCTTTCGGTAACCTGCCGGCAAGGCCCAGCTGGCACAGCCCCTCTAAGTCAACCCTCTCTAGACAGCTGATGTTCCCCCAGACTCTTACCCAAAGTGCATTGTTGTCTTCAGTGACAGGTGACAGTTTCTCTCTGCCTGCTGGCACCACGGATGGTGGGTCACATGTTCCCCATATGACTCAAAAGATGCATTTGCATTGCTTTAAAAATATGACCGTAAAGGCTTTGTTGAGTATCATTCAAACCCTCAGCAGCAGTGTTTCCTAAGCTACCTGGAGGAAGTGCCATGTGCATATTCATCTGTACCTGTTCACATGGAGCTGGTGTGTGGATGGCAGTGGCCTCTGCACAGTCTCACATACAGAAACATACCTTGCATCCTCCAGCACCCAGATACAAGCTTAATTATACCTACAACTTCCCTCATTTTACTATACTCACTTGCTGATTTGATTTCTTAATTTCTGTTATGAATTTGTTACTTGTTTCTGCTCCAGACCCTACATAATTGTTAAGAAGCAGAAGCCTGCAGTCACAAATAAGCACATGGAAGAGCTTGCTCAGGGATACAGGTAAATGGCCAAAGGAGGAACCTCTCATCTCCTAAACGCCCATTTACATGACTTCATCAGCAGTAACATCTGTACTTTTAAGAAAAGTATTTTTTCACTTTCTTAATTCTTTCCTAATTAATTTCCTATATCAGCTTATTGAAAAATTTATCCTTTTCTGTGTGAACTTACTTAGACGTTGTAAATTATCCTTTTAGAACCTGAGAATTACAGAATCTGGGTTTAAGTTCATGCACTATGAAGTGTTTCTAGTAGGAGAGGACTTTCCCAATGTGAGATGTTGACGTTGTGGGTCTCTCATCATGGGGGTTTCTGAAGTCATAGCAGGGGTTTCTGAATTGGGACTAGATTGACAGTGATCACAGATGTTTTACTGTTTTTATTTCCATGATTTGTGATCAATCTGTGATATAAGAATACCATATTTCAGATTCCCGAATATGCTGATACACCCTGGGAGGGACAGGTGCCTTGAGCCCAAATGAAAACCAGGATCTTTATTGTTGCATAGAAAACACTGCAGTAAAATGCTTTTTTAAAATATGTCTATCTCCCCAATATTTCATAAGGAATTTTGAAGATTTTTTACATGAGAGCCTGGTTGAATATTTAGATGTGAATGAAGAAAACGACTGTAACATCGCACTCTATGAACATACAATTAATAAGTAAGTAGGATCTAGAACAACCATAATTCAAACCTGTTCTGACTATAGAAACAGTCTTTTCCTCTCTGATGTGTACTCTGATGAGTAAGAACTGTTGGAAATACCATATACTGTTTGATCATGCAGTGTGATCTTTGTAAAATAAATCGCAGAACTGCTATTAAGTCATCTTTAGATTAATACTCCTTGCTATTCATTTGATAGTGTATATTTTTTAGGATTTTTTCTCTGATTTTAATATTTGATTGTGACCAACACTGAACTAACAAATAAGACTATGCAAAGATGTATTTATCTCTTGTAGAGAGGATTTTTGTCAGTGGATGTCTGCATTCTTATTGTCCATATAGGAATTCCCTGTGCAGTATGTTGTAATGATATCTATAAACTTATGTGCATTGTAAACATGAAATGTTAATATGTTCATGATGTTTCTCCTGGAGCACTGATATATTTAGTAGCATCTGTGTTCCATTTGGAACATAGTAGAGGACATTCATATAACTTGCTGTCTAATGCATGTGACTTATGCATCACTAACCAGCAATTGGAATTTTTGCAGTTATACTGCTAGCTAGTCAGGGCAGTGATACTACCTCTTGATAACTAGTGATTTCTTCAGTCAGCACAAGTACTTTTCTATCTTCTGCTACTGGTTGAAACATACCACTTTATTTTTGTCTTACTATAAGTTAATAATGCTTTTCAGTCGATTTTTATTCCTTAAGGGTGTAAATCTCTCAAAAGTACTGCTTTTATATCCCTTATCTCAAGGTTAAGTATAAAGGAAAGCAATTACAGCGGACCCTCGTAAATAGCAAATCTGTTCTCACTACTCAAGCCAGACCTTCTGTTTCAGCCTTGACTCCTCCCCTTGTCTACACCCACATGTACCTCATTAGCATTCCATGGGGATTTCCAGAATATACCTGGCACACTGAACTCTTCACCACCTCCACCTGCCACCCTCCACAGGTTCTGCCATGCTTGCCTGGATCCCTGCCAAACACCTCTGACTGCTTGTGTGCCCCAGACACTGTGCCTAACACAAGGGAGTGTCTTGTCACTTCTTTTCTCAACTCCCCACTAGCCCCGGGGCTTCCCATCTCCCTCCAGAGTGCTTGCAGATACCCTCAGCTCACTGCACCATGAGGCCCACCTGCCTTATTCCTGCAACACAGCCTCCCTTGCCTCCCTGTTTCCACGTCAACCACAGTGGCCTCCTCTTACCCCCCTACTCATCCTCCGCCTCAGCACCTGTGCGCTGGCTGCTTCCTCTGCCTGGAACCTCTCGCCTGCTGCTTGGCTCACTCCTTTGTCTGCTGCAGGCCCGCGCTCAGTGATGGCCTTCTCATGGACTTTTCCTCAGCAACTATTTAAAATATGCTAGAAGCCTTCCTCTCTCTATCCCTCATAACTGATTTATTTCTCTAATACTAATATTGCCTTGCAATAAAATTGTTAACTATGTATTTTGTTGATTTACCTGTTTCATGTCCATCTTCCTAGAAGATGCATGAGGGCTGCAATTTTTCTGGTTTTTTTTTTTTTTGTTGTTGTTGTTGTTTTCCGGCTTTAAATGAATACACCTGTCAGAACCAGCATCACCCATCCACCGAACTTTCCCACACACCAAGTTCATTTTATTTTGAAAGTAGAAGTTTGTGTTGTTTAATTCAAATATGAATTTTTAGTATACAGAAATGCATTAAGTAAAAAGAATGAATTCTCTTCTCTCCTCCACCAAATCCATCCTCTACTAGAAGCCAGTGTTGATAGTTTAGTATGTACTCTTGGAGATGTTTCTCTGGCTGGACACAAACATCTGTACATGCTCTCACAAAGATGTGAGTGTGGAAGCATAATTTCATTGTCCTGATTTTTTAATTTGATGTTACTATTATTAACATTATCATTCTGGACATTTTCCGTCTTAGTGTATTTGTGTATATATATAAAACATCCATTTTAATTGCTTTTTATTAGATAGTCAATCTACACACAGTTTGACATGTCCTCAGTAGTTGGATGTATTGCAATTTTGAAAACAGGTTCCAAGTAACAGGTGGTTTGATCTTATTTGGAGCTAAATTTAAGATGCTTATGCATAGTGTATAGGAAGTCTCCTAATTCCTATTCAGGAATTATCTTGTTGGTGGTTGTAATTGTAATTTTGAATAATAATAACCCTTTTGGGGGGGGCCTAAAATAGAAATGTTTGGATTTTCAGTGATTACTAAATAATAAATGATCTTTCAGGTGATGTTGTCGTGAAGAAAGAAGAAACTTAAATGTTTATCTTCTAAATTCTCAGCCTACCCTACATTTGCAAAGCTAATTTTTATTTACCTGGGGAATGTCAAGTTAGCCAATATTTAAGCTAAGTAATACATTTAAAGCAACTCTGTTTTATTCTACATTATGAAAAGTCACTGTACGTTGTTGCTCTTGAATCAAAAAAATTAGATTAACAGGTCTCTCTGCTGACAGAGACCTGAAGTATCAGAGAGGATTGGGGTTCTGCTAGATCAGGGCTCTAGTCCCAAAGGAGAGCATTCCTTTTAACCAAATCATGGACATAATTTAATACAAGTGTATGAAAATAAAAGTAGATGGGTAAACGGAAGATTGTTGTCATGTACATTGCAAGTAATTTTTTACGGTGAGTTGGGTTAGTTAGGAGTCAGTTCTCTTCACGTGTATTGTAAACAACTGAAATTGTTCAAGTCAGGCTGCAGAAACCCTTAAGGAAGCAGCAGAGGGCCAGCAGACATAGAGACCAGAGGCCCGGCATGGGGTGGCTGTGCTGTCCCCAGAAGACCTAAGGAGTGAGATGGCTGCTCCACCCCACTGAAATGTTGGTGTCCCTTTATCATTCAGCCAAAACAGTTGTCTGAAAAAACAGCTTGTAAAAGTAGTCAGAATTCTAAAGCCTACTAGGTAAAGCTTTATTTTGTGTCCAACCGGTAGCCTAGCAGCCCAGTGAAAATGTAACACAGCCATCTATATGACTTTGTTTTCTAGTAGCCACATAAAAAAGTGAAATGAAACCGGGAAGACAAAGTTTAATAATTTTATTTAGCCCAGTATATCTAAAATACTGTCACCACATTTTTTTTCCTGTCACATCTTTAAAATCTGTCCTGTGCTTACAGTGCATCTCAGTTTGGACGCTAAATTTTCATCAGAATTACTTAATCTGATGGCATAACATTTACATTTGAAGAAGTAGATTCACACTAACTGGCGTGAGTTACTTAAACATAAGTTTTAAAATATGAAGCTTTAAATTAAATTAAAAATTCAGTTCCCCCGTAGTGCCAGTCTTCACATTTCAGATCTCTGTAGCCACATTTAACCTGTGTTTGCAATAGTTTTCCCACCAACCTATAGTAATGATTCCTAAGGGGAAATTCTTTCCTCTGTCTAAAATGGTGATAGAACTTACTTGTTAATAAGTTGGAAAATGTGGAATAAGTTTGACTATCCATGTGGATATTGTTGATAGTGTATTTTTAGATGCTCAGTGTATAGTAATTTCTTTCTAAATGTTTTTTGTTGTTTCTACATATTAATACTATTTTCTATATATAGGCATTCCTTGCTGCCTCCCTTCTCTTGTATTTCTACAAATGATAAAAGTTCCTGTCACTCAAAAAAAAAATTCTTATGTTTTATCATATTTTATTTAAATATGTTTTTATTTTTTCAGTTTCAAATTTTAAATGTAAATTTTGTATTAACATAAGCTTCACTTATCTAGGTCCCTCGGGGGCCTGGAGAGTAATATTTTTATACCGAGTAAGATATATGTATTTTGAGACTTGGTTCTATGATGACTAATTCCTAATTAACTTTGTAGAGAAACCACCCACTTGGAGATTGAACCCTTCACTCTGCTGGGCGTTTGTGCTGGCCTGATCCCATACCCGCATCATAACCAGTCCCCAAGAAACACTTACCAGTGCGCTATGGGGAAACAAGCCATGGGTAAGAGCGCCTGCGTGAACGTGGTTCTGAGTACTGGGTTGGCAGGCTTGTCTCTGAAGCCTCGTCTCACTAGATTGCATGTTTGGCCAAATCAGGCACCACTAACACTTGAGCCATAAGCTCAGAGGTCCTCTGTCTTGTTTAAAAATAGGGAACCTGCTCTGAACTTACTCCCTAAACCAAACAAAGAGACCTATAATAAATAAACGTCAGAGAGTTTGGTGGGGTAAATATAAAGAGAAAACCCCCAACAACATGTACGTTGTGAACCAGAGAGATGGAGGAAACAACAGAGAAGAGGGAGAGCAGAGCTGGGGACGCCCCGTGTGCTCATATGTGTGTTTGTCTAGTGGCAGCCCTGAAGCTGTGCCCGCCCCACGGACACTCCCGTAGCTCGGATACACCTGCTGTGTCATCGATTTCTGAATTCAGTTGCCTCTCACCTTTCTTTTTTCCATGCAGTATTATTGATTTGCCTGTCTGTCCGTCCATTACATTTATTGATCATCAACTGTAGACCAAGTAGTGGGGCTGGAACCTGAAAATACAGAGACAAGACACTGTGCTGTTCTCAGGGAGTTCACAACCCAGTAGAAGAGATAACAAATGAAGTGATAATTCAGTATAATGAGATGCATGCTGTAATAAACTAATAGCCAGGATCTAAGGAACTCAGAGGAAGGAGATGACCTAGATTCGAGAGCAGGTTGTTTCTGGAGAATAACACTGAACTACACCTTGGAAGACTGGGTCTTTTTCAGAGGTGTGGAAGTATAAGTAAGCCTTGCCTGGAAAGGCTCAAGATTTTGGGGGATGGGCGGATTGCTGTTTAGTAACTTATGAGTCTAGAGGTATGCAGGAGGTGCCGTATTAAGGAGCTTGATAGAGAGGACACCAAACCAAAAAAAAAAAAAAAAAAAGAGTTTGCTTATAAACTCTTTTTGAAATACTTGAAAAGTCATTTAAACGCTAGTAAATAAAGGTAATGATTTTTATTTTCATGCATGTCAGTAATGTCAATATGATTTGTCATCTCTGGTTTTTAAAGGATGCTGCAAGGAGCTACATAAAGAAACTGTAAAGAGGTTTTGCATTACCTTTGGGTTAACTACCAGAAGGCATTTAACTTCTCGCTTACCCCAGATAAGCTGTAATTATCCAGAGCTTGACAATTAAGAAATTCTCTCTCAGTAAATATAGAGCATATGTATTCTTTCCAGGTTTATGCACTGCCCTCTGGTTGGCTACAAAGGAAGAAGGGCATGTTGTCCCACTGCCGTTACCTGAATGATGCAATGCCCGGACAGCTCAGAATAATTCCCAGTGGGAAAATGTAAACAGCAGCTCATCAGTTTGCCCCCCCCATTCACCCTCCGTGGCGGTGTGGGCTGATTTCCCGCTTGTGCTTCTGACTAGCTAACAAGTTGAAATATACAGTACTGAGCCCTGTGTGTCATGAAAGGGCTATCACTCCTATTGGGTTTACCAAACCATTTTGTTTCATGATGTGAATCCCGGCTGAAACAATACACCTTTTGTGTAGAACCTTCAGCAGAATTAAGGGAAGACTAATCACTTCATCGCTCACGCCACTGCTCAGCGTGTTTGAAGATTGAAACAGAAAGGGCCGCCTCTCCCTCATCTCGCACATTTTTTGTTTTTATACAGAAGAAACCTGAAAAAGAGAAAAAATATTTTTATTTTTGTGACCCCCCCGCTTCTCCTCCCCCCCCCCCACACACAGGAAAAAAGTCTTTATTTGTGGCCTCGTGTATCTGAAACGTTTGGTTAGTTACCACACACAGTTAAGCGGGATCAGTGTGTACAGAAAGCCAATTCAGTGTCTGTAGAGTTCTTTTGTAGTTTTCTGTGTGAAGGTTTTTTTTCTCGTTTTGTTTTGAGTGTCATTTGCAATTCATTGTCTGTGTTTTCTGAGGTTGGTGTATTCAGCTGCTCTGACCCTGGGTCCTGCACATTTAGCTCCTGGGATACAATCCTCTGACGTTACTGCTGACGCTGGGAAGACAAAAGCCACTGAATATCTTAAGTAATAAAAAAAAGGCTTTGTTACTATTTGTTATTACAAAACACCTGACTGGAAAAAAAAAAAAGCAGCAAGATAAAAGTGCCTTTAAAGCTGGCACAGAACGTGGCCACATTTTTCTTTGGACACTGGAAATAGCTGCAGAGAGTTGAGCGAGGTCTGTATGAAAAAATCACAAAAGGAACAAGACTGGGGAAAACCCACAGCAAAGACCAAGGTCTGTAACGGAGACCTCGCACTCAGCTGGATTTCTCTTGGGCCTTTTAATTCCATGCAGACTTGACAGTGAATAACTAAAAGTCACAGTATCTTGTTTGAAATGTGAGCTGTGGTTGAAGACTACCCATCTCAGAGATTCTGTGTGGATTTTCTAAAATAACCTGTGGTTGCCATCCCTCTGGAAATAAAAGACAGAAACCCAGAATTAATTCTCCTACTTCTAGCCTCCCTCGGAAATTTGCTCACTGCCAGCCCCTGCCAGCCCCTCCCGCTCCACGGAGTGGAAACGGAGAGTCGTTTTCTGTCACTTCAGAGCCCAAGACTAGTTCCATCCACAGAGGCGGAAACTTTACCTTGTACGCAAAAGAGAGCTGACTCTAAGCCAACACGAAATGCCAGCAGAGTATGTCTCCTAAATGCGAGCTATTTAAGTCACTCTCTGTGCAAGTTCCCACACAGCACCGACTGTGCTCCGGAGAGACGCCTCCCTGCGTGGAGCAGAAGTCAGGTGGACGGTGCAGGGAGGGGCGGTCCCGGCCACTCAGGCTACAGGAAAGGCCGCTCTAAAGGAGGGAGCATTGTGTGTGTGCCCTGGCCCGGGCGCCCAGCTCACATGAGTCACACTTTCATATCCTGCCCATTTTATTTGTTGGCAGTCCTCCGGGGGACACTCTTTCCTGTTTAAAAGGCCCTCGCGGTCACTGTCAGCCCCAGTCATGAATATGCACCGGGTACCTCCCTGTACCACCCCTAACCCTCAGCTCCAAGTTGTTGGGACTTTGCTTTTTTATGCTCAGGAGCTAATGCTGCTCAGTGTTTTGTTTTCAATAGATTCTATTTCCAAGCGGACAGTTCTTCCCCTTGTAGCCCCGCCTTCAGAGTAGAATGGGACGGGCCAGGAAATTCTGTTTGTCTACCCCCCCTCCACCCCCCACTTTCTGTTTGAATTTTTTAAAAGCATGTTTATTCTTTGTCCATTTGGGGGTACAAATGAGAAGCTGTCTTGACCAAATTGGCCCTAGTCTTTCTTTTAAAGAATTCTGCTATTAGTCAAAAAGCACTTTTATTCATTATACAGGTTTTAGGTGTAAGCTTATGTAACATTGTCTGATACTCCTTATGAAGGTAAAATTAAACTAAATGTAGATTTCAAGCTGCAGGTAGAATGGTTCATGTTGCAGGGTAGTGAGTTACCTGTTTTTTAATCACCACTAATGTTACTATTAGTCACATGAATTTTGTCACTTACTGAGTATCCGTGTTTCTTGTTACATGTTTCTTGTGTTGATCATAGTAATGCCATCAGTTAGCATACAGACAAGGAAACTGAACCCCATTTGGTTGGAGAACTTATAAAAGGCTATGTTACATCTTCTATGCAGTATTATCTATAACATTTATTTAAACTCTTCTCAGCTGAACTCATTTTCTCCTTTTTTCGTGATCATGATCAAGGTGTGTTCCTTGCTAGACTATAGATTATAAGCTTCTTGAGAGACTATGTCTACATTTTTTAATGTTGGTGGTCTCACAGGTCTGTGAGTCTGTCAGAAATCATCAGTTGTCGCTTAAGTTGGGTGGAGCTAATGCTGATTAGAAAGAAACTGGGCACAAAATAGATGAATGGATAAAAAGTTGTGGTATTTATTACTCAGCCATCAAAAAAGACAAATTCATACCATTTGCAGCAATACATATGGAAGTGGAAAGGATTATGCTTGCCGAAATAAGTCAGAGGACGGAGTGGACAGGGAAGGCTCTTTTTGTTTTCAGCATGTGCTTCCCCCAGACCTCACCCTTAGAATCTAATTTCTGTATGACATTTTATCTAAAAATGTCGTATTTTCAACAAACTAGCCAGTCATGCATAATTTTTACAAAAGTCATATATCAAGTGGCATGTTGGAGTTTTATAATATAAAAGCTGATAGTGTTTAAATCAGGTTTTTCCAAACCCATCACCAGTGCTGCTACCTGTAAGTCACTTGCCCATTCCTACAATTCTTCAAAAAGCCTTTAAAGGTGATTTTGGATGAGATCTTAACAGCAAACATTTGCTAAGCCAGGTTGCTGTCCTATGCAGCCGCCAGCTGTGACGCCCGAGGATGGTGTTCAGGGCCCGGGAGCCCAAGCACAGCAGGATGTGGGCACTTCCGCTGTTCAGGGGTGCGACCTCGCTGCTTCCCGCTGCGTGATACTGCTTGTCTCAGGGTTCAGAAGACCCTCTTGGCGGCCTGCACCCTTGTCTCAAGCTGGGTACAGTATACAAATGGAACTGAAGTCTCAACATAAATTTTCAGTGATTTCATGTTAAAGGACAAAGTTATTGTCAGTGGGCTTGACCACGATCCAAGCACAGTGATTTTATTTCTACAGTAAGTGATCTATTACCAGGTAGCCTGCCCGCTTTATTAGCTGGCACTAAAATAGCATAAATTAATTGGCAGCTTATGGTGTGAAGTTCATGAGGCTCAGGTTAGCCATTGTTTTTCAGCTGCAACTTGATAAATCTCACAACATGATCCTTAAGTTCCTTTCTCTTGCTGTTTACGGAGCCCGCGGGGCCCCTGCTGCTGTAGGTACTGGTGTCTGTAGTGCTGCACGGGTTTTATGGCGGTGGCCGTTGTCTGGGAGTTCTGTGCTATTTTTGCTGCTTGGATCGTTATTTTCATCTCTAAACTGAAGTCACCTTGAGACTCAGTAGCTTGATCATGGAGAAGAAGGTAGAGTAAACAGTTTTTTGATAGCTGTTCACAAGAGAGCCAAGAGGCTTCTGGGGCGGGGCGTTGTGAGTGAGCCCCCACGAAGCGTGTGCCAGGGAGACTTCAGCTCCACCTCTCCCCTAACATTAACAGCTGTTCTGACCTCTCAGCCTGCTGGAGGGGAAAGAAGAGTCCCGGAGAGAAGTTAGGGACACCATACTCTATCTCTGCGGTAGGGCATCCCCGAGTTCCACTTTTAAGGTCTCTGGATTTTTCAGGCAGGTGAATCCTGATGAACCTCAGAGCGACAGAGGTGCACATCCTGATTTCACTTGCAGTTGACAGTACATCTTTCCAAGGTCTAGTCAGGGGACCATCTGGTGATGAAGCAGGGAAGAGCCCAGCCCTGACGAGGCAAGGCCCCAGCTTCCTAATGGGAAGAGACCAGACCTTTCCCGCTTTATCCGCAGTGTTCCAGGAGACTAGATGTTCCCTCCTGCTTTAACAATGAATAGTTATGCAAATGAACAAATATATTCTCTGTGTTTGCTTGAATGCCTCTTCTTCACTTGGTTCCTTCCCTTTTCTTCTCGCTTTTCCATGTAGAACTTTTGTAACTGTGACTTGGTTGTCTGAGATGTATCTGTTACCGGTCAGCACTGGCTGCTGTTCTCCTGTTATGTACCTCCAGCAACTGGATGTATGCGTGGAACATAGAACCAGACTCAGAATTGTCAGTTTACTGGTGCAAATAACCAGTGAAGCTAAAATTCCTCGCGCAGGATTAATTCAATCCAAAAAGTTGAAATGATTTAGTTTATCATAAGTATATTGAATCTTCACTAGTGACAAAAATTGCTTTTAAAAGTTGTCAGCCACTAATAAGAGTATTGCTTTTGAAATGTGTGGCCTGAAGATTGCCTCCATTTTAATTAGTGAACCTAATATGTTCATCTCTGCATTCATTGCTACCTAAATATTGCACACAACAGTATGTTACATTGGGTTTTCTCCATTATCAATGAAGGTACCATCGGCTACAACCAACGGAACAGAATTGATACGCTCATGTACCTTCTCGCTTACCCACAAAAGCCCATGGTTAAAACGAAGACCATTGAGTTGATAGAGTTTGAGAAACTGCCAGCCGGGCAGAATGCCACCGTCGCCGTGATGAGTTACAGTGGCTATGACATTGAAGATGCCCTTGTTTTGAACAAGGCCTCCTTGGACAGAGGTGAGTAACTTTTCAAAGCGCCAAAAGCTTTGCATAGAATTAAATGTGAGGTGATCTGTAGTGTCACATGTTAATGTTAGTTTCAGGTGACTTGAGTTTTATAACATGCAAGCAAGAGATGGGTTGTGTTCTAGTGTTGCCTTGTTTTAACGAATATTCTATAGAAATCATTTGTTCGCTGTACTACAAAGGAATCTCCCCCCCCCCTTTTGTTATTTTTATTGGTCATTTGAGACAATCCAGCAACAGAAAATATGTAAGAATGGGTTTATTTTCTAGCAGGCAGTGCAAAAAATGAAATATGTTTTTCAGCTATAGCTAGTGATTCAGTCAGCCGCAGACCTGTTGGAGAGGAGCTCATTAGCAATATTTGCATATAAAAGGCTTGTTTTTTACTGGTATGTCTGAATCCCATCATGTGATACCTTTTTGATAGTAAAATGATAAAAATAAAAACTTTGCAAGCACAAACTCTGGCGTAGAGATTCACGCTTTCCTCTCTGCGGATCCTGGCAGCTCCCTCTCACAAGTCACCGCTGCCCGGTTTGCTCACCATCACCTGATCTGTGGTCTGACTTCGCCCTTCGTGATCTGTCTCTCCTCCCTGGCGCAGCCCCTCCACTCTTCGTAGTTGCTAGGCAGCATTAATAGCACTCCTAGACATGTGTCTTTGGCATTAATGTTGGCTCCACTTAATTTATGCCTTTTTTTTTCCTCCAAATGACAACAGCCATGCTTTAAAACTCCATGTTTTCCTTTCTGATTAACTGGTAACGTTTATGCAGAAATCTGAAGACTTTGTGATATCTGTCAGAAACTCCGCAGCACAATTTAATGATGTGAGTTTACTGTCCTCTGGCTTTTAAGCTACCACCTGTAAATAAAATGTCCATTTACACTTAGGAGAAAACACTTCTTGCTTCTGTGCAGGTCAGATTCACACCGCAGCTAATGGCTGTTGTGCAAAATTTCAAGATCATGTAATGTTTCCAGAGCAGCTGGTTCTCAAGCTGAGGTTATTGTGACCATGCACCACTTACTAGACCATAAGACCTTGCTCAGAGCCACACAAACAACTTCATCCTCATCTTCTCCAGCTGTAGAAATTTGTTGTTTCATTGCAGTCACCTTCATATTTAAAAAGTTGCATTCACACACTGAGATTTTATTTAGAAGTCCACTTTTCCATGATTGATTTTTCTAAATACACATTCTTAGATTTCTTGAAAGAGTTTGCTTTTGGTGGAGAATCATAAGTACAGGATTTTACAATCATGCATTTATTTCATCAGCAATAGCTGGTATTTCATCTGAAGACATTTTCCTATTTAAGTGAACTCTGACATGGCTCTTTGTATCTTGGGGGAGATTGGAGAGTGAATCCAGTTTAAAGTAACTGTTTGGGCAAAGGGAAAAAAGAAAAAGAGAAAGAAATGTAGCTTCAAAGTGTTGGGGAATGATACTTAGTGTTGAGGGAATGAGAGCGCTCTTAGCTCTGCATCTCATGAATCCCTTTGTGGAATGCAGTGGTTGGGTTTTTTGTTCTACCTAAAAGTTTTCATATTTTTATTTCACTTATTTTTCTTAACACTTACATTATTGGTTGATCCAAGGATTTTTCCCTTATCTACTAGGTCAATGTAATAAAAGTGCAATCAGAATAAACTACCACCAAGACAGGGATAAACTCTCTCTTATTAAAATCATTTATTCTTGATGCTTTTCATTCTCTCTCTTCACTAGAGAACCATTGAATTTTTTATTTGTTTGAGACTTCTCTGAATTCCAAAATCAGAAAAATTTCCTAGAATGGTTAGTAGAAGTTAGCTACCGAGAGGACAGGTACAAAGCACCCGGCCGAACCAATGGAGGGTGGACTCTCTTCAGTCTGCCACCAATTTGCTGGGTGAGCATGGCTGCTTGACTTCCCATCGTGCCTGTAAGGTGCAGGGCTTGAGATTCCTTCCAGTTATCTCATTGTGGCTCTGCATTCTTGGAGTGTCACAGTGATGCCACCGTTCTCCAGCATGACAAGGTGGCAGAAGTTGCCTGGTGAGGTTCCAGTGTCTGTGTGGACAGTAGGTAGGGAGAAAGCTGAGCCAGCTCTTTAGATTACCATTATTGGTCTGGCCAGTGCCTCCGTGGTCCAAATGCACGACAGTTTGGACTTTCTTTTTTATTCATTGGGTCTTTAATTCGGGGGGAGTAGGATCAGGAGAGGAGTGAGGGAGAAGGGGCTGATCGTTGCGTAGCACAAATATCTGCAATCGATATCTTCTCATATTTTTGTGTTATAGTTGATACCGTTTTCATTTCATTTAGGCTTTGGACGTTGCCTTGTGTATAAAAATGCTAAATGCACATTGAAAAGATATACCAATCAGACTTTTGATAAAGTGATGGGACCCATGTTGGATGCTGCCACGAGGAAACCCATCTGGCGACATGAAATTTTAGATGCGGATGGCATCTGTTCTCCAGGTAAAAGTCTTTACTGAAAACAGGTGTGTGCGTGCTTTTTGAAGTTGTGAAAATTATTCAATCACATCTCTGGACATTTGGTAAGCAGGGCAGAGAAAGTAATGCCCCCTGAAGCTTCTACCCTAACACTCAGTGTGGTCACTAGGCATGTGGTTCTGTATACTCTGTTTTTCTGTACATGTGTTTTTATATAGTAGTACCCTAGTCTAGTTATGCTTTTTCTTGTTATATCATTCTGAATCATGAAAAAAAGTTTCCTCAATTTTTTTTTTAAGAATTGGATCATAATAAGATCATATCCCTGTATCTACTCTGTTATTTCATCATTTGTGCCTTTAGCTTACAGCTGACTTTAAAACCTCTACCCCTAAAGAATGGGACTATAGTTGCTGTGGATGAGCCCACAGCTCCTGGCCCCGTGGGTCTTGGAGACTGGACATTGGCCAAAGACGCGTGCAGATAAAGGTCAGGTCATGCAGCAGTTGGTTAAGGAGCGGCACCAGGGCTCTGAGGCCACTCAGGAACAAGAGGAGTTGACCTTGTCAGGAAGAGCGAGGTAGCCTTTCCCAAGGAAGTGAGCCGAGCTCTGAACACTGTGTGCTCTGGACTCACGCAGTGGGGTGGGAGGAGGCTACTATGCCGTGGGGGAGGCCTGTGCAGGTGTTGTGCAGCCTGATCGTTGGAGGAGCTAAGGAAGCACATTCTGGCTAGACAGGCACATGTGGAGGGTGGGAGTTTGGTGGGTATGGTGGGGCCAGTGCCTGGACCAAAGCCTTGCAGCTCCCTCCTTGTCATGGTGCTCCTGAGAGCCGTGATGTAACATGACGTGACGTGACGTGACGTGATTCGTTTTGAAGTGATTGTTCTGATTATAGTGTGGAGGGAGGAGAAGGAGCCACAGCAGAGGAGACCAGTGAGCGCTCACGTGGCAGACCAGGCAGCAGGGGTGAGGTGGGGAGAGAGGCAGGGGTGGGAGGCCACACAGAGGGGAGCGAGCGTGGCCTGGTCTCCCATGGTGCCGGTGGCCAGCGTGTCTGCTGTGGGGCTGAGGCCCACGTGGTGCACTGCCTCCTGCTGCCTCTGCTTCTCGTGGTCTGCCGCCCTGATAGTCCTCCGCCTTCCAGCTTACCATGCAAGGTGCAGCACCAAGGTGAGAAGAGCAGGAAATCCAAGGAAGTAGCTGGGTACCTCAACTGAGTCGGAGGTGGCATATTATGGGCTAGAATAGCTATTGGTACAATGTAAGTGTTCTGAACCCTAAAAGATGTATAAAATTGCTACCTACTAGCCTTCTGTTGTGGTGGTCAGCCTCCTAATTTTATACACACTGTGATCTTCATCTGTGATTTTTTTTTTTTCAAATGGGCTGCAGAATTGCAAAAGACCCCCCCCCCCACACACACAGAATTCTAGTTTCTCTACGTGGGCTGAGTTTTTTCTTCTAGGTCTGGACTTTGTGGTCAGCATCTCCCCATTCCCATGTGCTGTTCTGTGCTCCCCCAGCTTTGCCTCCCACACAGGCGGCAGTCAGATTCATAACCACCTTTCTTTCTTAGGTGAGAAAGTGGAAAACAAGCAAGTGCTCGTGAATAAGTCCATGCCCACCGTCACGCAGATTCCACTGGAAGGAAGCAGTGCACCCCAGCAGCCACAGTACAAAGACGTGCCCATCACGTAAGTATTGGCTGTGCCTTGACAGTGCAGAGAACGAGTCAACAGAAAAGGAAAGGTGTAGAGATGAGAGGTTCTGGGAGGGCTGGAGGACCCGAAATGTTCAATTACGGAAGGTACCAGGGAGGAGTCCCTGACTCCTTCTGTCCTGGGTTTGAGTTGTGGGAGCAGCAGGATGAAGGGCGCGTGGGGATAAAAGTCTGTGTTTGAGGACTGCGAAGGCAGGAGAAGGGGAGGTTTGGGGGTTCGTTCACTCGACGGTGATGGAATCAGGTTGTGTGTTCAAAAGATGAAAATACGCCAGTTACTCAAGGTGGCGTCACCAGTGCAGCAGACTCCAGGAGGGGTCAGCACTAGTTGCGCTGTGTGTCATCTTACCTAGATAAAGCTCTTGCCGTCTGTCAGCCTCAGTTTTTCACCTATGGAGTGACATAGTGAGGCTCGTCTAACTCCAGATTCCTTCTGAGCCATGGACTAGTGATAGCAGGCACACTGGTAGAAAGACACAATGAGAAGAATAGCTTGATATCTAACCCCGATGAACTCAGTCAACTAACTCTGTGAGAGGGGGAGTGACACCGGGGAACTGAGTTCCTGAGCCGCGGAAGGCGGTTTCACAAATCCAGGCAACATACACTGCTCTGTGCCAGCCTCATGCCACGAGGAGTCGCATCTAGCTGGCAAAGCCCTGTGCAGAACAAGTCCAGCAGTTGCCATGATCATGACAACTAATTTGAGCGCCTGGCCCCACCAGTCCCTGTGCGGGCAACCCTCTCCCCGCCTCCCAAAGCGCTGTGTCCTCTTACCAGCCTTGTTGGACAGGCGGGCAGACCAGGGGCACAGGGACGGTGAGTGCCTCGCCGAGGCCACACAGCCGCAAGTAGCAGGGCGAGGATTTGGTGTCCGAGCTGCCCTCGACCCCCACGAAAGTGCCGCGGGTGCCCTGGATTTGTCTCTAGGGTGGGAGCACAGAGAAGGTGGGTGGGTGCACTTGGGGTAACCACCCTTGCCAGGAGTCCCAAAATCAAAAGCTATTTTGAAATGACAAAGGACAAAGGCAGTTATGCAGATGGTTTTCTTCCTGTTCCTTTTTTCCTATTCCAAGCCTTTCTGTCTCTTCCTGAGTCCCTCATATCACCCACTCTTCAAGGACCTTGCTCTGGCATTTTCTTATCTATGCTCCCCTATTTCCAACTTCCCCTACGGGCTGGCAGAGGTCTTCAAATCCTCCTCACCTTGACAATGCAGCATCGCCTTGGTATTCCTTCCTAGCCAACCCCCCCCCCTTTCTTTTACCACAAAGCTCCCTGAAGAGGGACCTGTGAGCTGGCTCCTCTTTAGGTGCTCCCTGAGCCCTCTGACCCCCTCCGCCCGCCCAAGCGGCTCTCACACTGTGGCAGCTGCTGCTCTAGGAGCCTTGCGCAGAGCGGCAGATCCGTGGCTCGCGGAGCTCACTGCAAGCGAGGAGAGACAGCCCCAAAGTAGCAAGCCATCACTGGCCGGACGCCTGGGCTGCGTGGAATCTTCAAGACTAATCATGTGAATGAAGTCTTTGTCTTTTTTTTTCACCTGTACCCCTAGTACCGTACTAGCTGATGAGCAAATAGTACTGGATGGATGCATGCATCTTGTTTGATCTTTTTCGAGCATTTGAACCTCTGGCCTCACCCTTCCCCTGATTTTGTGGCACTGCTGTGGCCTGGCCCTCCGGCCAGTCTGACAGTTCATCCTCGGCTCCCTGCCTGGCTGGGCTGAGCTGACCCTGGCAAGGACTCTGCCCTTGTCTGGTGAGCTCATCCACACCAAGCACTCCAGTGCCCTCACAGGTGCACCTGGTTTCAGCTCCATACCTACTTACAGGAGACGCCTCCCAGGGGCCATCTTCACCCTCTTCCCCAGCACCGCAGCCCCAGATGGGCTCCTCCCGGACCCCTCTTCACACCCTCTCGCTCACGGCTGTGGCGGCCTGACGGCCGGCCCTCCTCCAGACTCTGTGCTCAGCTGCCTCTGGCCTCACATCTCGCCACACCTCGGTGCTTGGTGTGTAACTGCCGGAGTGAGTGCCCCCCCCCCATCCAATTATTCGTCTAGTTGCATTACTTTTGAGTAAATATAATAAGACTTGAATTAATCCAGCAAAACTCTCATTGACAGTGTTGAGTAGAACTCTCAAGACAAAGAAACAGGAACGCAAGCCATCCCCGACCTTGGCACACATCTCTAGCTCTGCTGCTGGCCCGCTGGGCCACATCCCCCGGCTCCCCAGCAGCCCGCCACCGGCTTCCCGCCAGCAGCACGGTGACTGGTGCCTCCCCCGCGCCCTGGCCGCCCCGACTGCCGGCATCTCCACACACCACCTTCCGCTCTTGCTTGGCTGGATCCTCAGCGCCTTTGGGAGAGCATCTGTTTACGCAATAGCTACACCTCTTCGGCGACTCTTAATAGTGTTCAGTGTGTGAAATGACAGGAAGGAGCAGAGTGTGCACAAATTAATCATCGGAAAGCTGGGTACACCGTAGGATTTAAGGACTTGGGGTCCAGCCTCACTGGCCTCGGCTCACGTCTCAGGTCGGCTTTGTGAGTGCTGCGCCCTGAACCAGCCCTTAGCTATGCTCCGCAGCCCTCGCCCTCGCCAACAATGAGGGGTAGCGGTTGTGAGTGATGTGTGATGTGATGAAGGTCATGTTGCCCCAGGCCTGCTTCATACTAAGTGTTCAGGAAACGTCAGCCATTTCCAACTAGGACGACAAGGGAAATGCTGACATTTGAATTTAATGTTGAAAAGTGAAAGTCACTCGTCAGAGTTCCAGCTGGGATTGTCAAGATGGTCTCTGATTGGCACGAACCACAGCATGACCTGTGGGCGACAGGTTCCTGGAGGGGAAGTTGGACAACCCCGTTTTCTCCATTTCTCTTACTACTAGGTACAAGGGGGCCACAGATTCCTATATTGAAAAAGTGATGATATCTTCCAATGCCGAAGATGCTTTTCTGATCAAAATGCTGCTGAGACAGACACGACGTCCAGAGATTGGAGACAAATTCAGTAGCCGTCACGGGCAGAAAGGTAAGTGACTTCGCTTCTCCACTCATAAGAATGAAAATATTAAAAGGGTTTTTTTTTTAAGATTTATTTATTTGTGCATACAGAACTGGGGTACAGGCCAGAGCCTCAGGGGTGGCGAGAGGCTTCACCAGAGACAGAGTGGGGAGCAGAACAGGCAGATCGACGAAGTGCACTGCTGAGGGGAGCAGCAGGCGGGTCAGGAGAGGTCTGCCGTGCCGTGTGGGTCACCTCCAGGGCAGGCGGGGATCGAACTCGTGCTGCAGTGGCTTTAGCTTCTTAGTTCTGTGCTTTAACCCGCTGCGCCACCAGGGAGGTCCCCGAAAATACTAAAGATTTTATCAACCACATGAATGAAATATTTTATAACTTTTTCCTGTTAAAATTTTTGTATATTCGAAGTTATTTCATGCTGTTCTCAAAATTGTTTATTTCTCAGATTGACCTGGTTGTCACTTAGTGACATTAAAAATGGGCCCTGTTGTTGCTCTGAACTGTTTATTTCATTCTCCTGCAACTGCTCAGTCCAATTTCTAACTTCCTGCCAGAAGACAGACTTAATAAAGCACAGGTAGCTATTTGTTTACGGAAGGCGTGTATTTACAGTACGGTAATTTTGGTTGGATCATTGTATCCTGGCATGTCAGCACCAGACACTGGAGTTACCTGCGCCTTTTAACAGGTCACCCGTCGAGGTACCCGGCTAGGTGGTGCAGAGCGGGGCTGGAACCCAGCCTGCCCGCCTCCAGCCCGCTGCGTGGCCCACTGCTCGGTGCTCCCTCTCCGAGGTCATGTTTCTCCAGCGAACCTCGTTGATGGGCCTCACCCTCCATTGCTGTTTTCTGCTTAGTTTTCATCCCTGCGTGTGGTTTAGCTCCGCGGTATATTTTCAGCTGCGTCCCTCAGCTCGTTTTCAGTAGGGCCTCTCAGTCCGCAGTGTTGTAGAGTGGCGCATTGGGCGAGGGCTTGAGTGAGGCCGCGGTCTGCCCCGTCCCTGTTTCAGGAGCAGGGAGCCAGCTGCGTCGTGCCGATGGTGCCTGGTGGTGTTCTCAGCGCCGCTTTCGCCCTAGTGAGTCTCACACAACGCCGGGGAGCAGGCACCCCTGTTGTCAGCTTTCCACTCATGAGGAAACGAGGCGCAGAGAGGTGGTTAGCTTGCCGGTGGCCCCAGTAGGCGCAGAGCTGGGTCTGGGGCCCTGGAGCCCGGTGCCGCGCCCTCCGCCGCCTCCCGCTCCTGAGTGTGGAGCGTTGGCGTGTGCTCGCGCCTGGGCAGTGAGAAGTGATAGTGTGACCACCGACCGTGGCCGTGTGACCACCGACCTTGGCCATGTTCATCCTGCTTCTTGACTTTGAGGTGCACCTCTCCCTCCTAACGACTAGCAGGGTAATGTCTTGTTTTTATTGATTGGTTTGGCAGTGGCTACTGCTCATCATTGCCGTGCTAACTTTAGCTGTTTATTTGCAAAGCGCTTATGTAAAATATTATAATTTGTTTGATCAGAAAACCCAGCCTCCGTTGTCATCCCATCAGTAAAACTGTCTCAGACTAACACTGTTTTATCAAAAGCAATTTCAGTTCAATTGACAGATGACTTTTTTAGCCTGTCAACATTTTTTATGAAAGCATTGGTTCCATCTATCACTGTTAATTTGACGTCTCTACTTCATGTATTTCCTGAGATGCTGGTTCTAATAATACCTTTTGAGTGTTTTTTAGAATACTGGGAAGTTCTAGTATTTTCCACTGCTTACCAGTGAAAGTAAAATTCTCTGTATTGACCCTCCCCTTGGTTTTTGACACTGTCTGAAATGCTTTCTTGCCAGTAACCGTTATAGCCTCTCCTCTACCTGGTCTATTGCCTCCACAAGAGCTCGCGACCTTGTTAAAAAGAGTGGCCACCAGAAGCCTTAAGTTCAGCCACCACCCAAGCGTGGCTTCATTCTGACGCAGTGTGCAGACGTTAGTGACCCAAATCCTTGTGCTCTTTGCCATCATAGTATTGTGCCAGGGGTGAAGGCTGGCATACATGGTTGTCGTGATGAGCCATCGCATTGGAATTCCACTAAAAGTCTTGAGAACAGGGACCATGTGCTTCCATCTCAGAACACCTGATAGAGCCTTTTTACAGTAGATACTTAGAAGTTGGTATGGTCAAGCACATGAATGAATTGGCAGGAGAGAGTCTTTCTTCCTGGTGGATTGATTTTATTAAGATTTTTAATCAACATGTTATATGTGAGTGTATGTACATAAATTATAGACAAAGCCCGACGTTTGAAAATTAAAATCACAGGTTCATAGCACCTGGGTACAGACCTGTATAGAAAATGTCAGTAAGTCTTTGTGCAACAGGAGTTTCTCAGACTGTTAAGTAGAGGTGATGTTTGGTCACACAAATAGTTTACAACTTGCTCTGATGCAAAACAGCAGATTTTAGAGATCTGTTCTGACTTGCGGGTGCTTTTATTTGTACATATCTGTATGAAGCTGAAAGAAGTCCTCCTGGGATTAAATGACCTTTACTTGCAGTGAAGAGTTTATCTTGCTAGTTTTCCTTTTCCAGATGGCTTTTAATCCAAGAGTAAAACCTTTTGATTAGCCTATATTCCCTTCTCTTACAGCTTCATCAGATTTATTGGAAAGATTGGGAAAAACAAACAAAAATACAGAATGTAAATTGTAACAGGGAAATGGAAAGAATGATGAGAAATCCTTAGCATAGTTTTTATTGCCTTTAAACATAGATTTTTTTTTTATCAAAATAATTGTCATGGTTTAAAAAGATCAAATAGTATGGAGATGTATGAGTGCCTGCCTTCCTTGCTGTTCTTCTTCCCAGAAGCAATCTCTCCTCAATGTACTTTCAATTTCTAAGCTATATTCTTAAACACTCTAGTGGATGAGATAAGTTGAAATGGGGGAAATAATTAAAAAGGGAGGAGAACAGGACTCGTGCAGGGAGTGGTTGAGAATTTAGATAAATGCTTGAGGAGCAGCGCCTTACTGAAAAGGTGGCATGTGAATAAAGACCTGAGAGAAGTAAGGGGGACACATTCCTGATGGAAGGGTACTGGAGATAAAAGGGGGGCCTATGGCCGGCGCTGGGCCTGTGTGGCTGCAGCAGGGTGTTGCGCACGGAGGAGGCAGTCACGAGGCCTCGCAGCCCACTCTGCACTTGAGCTTTTGCTCTGAGAGGGAGACTTTGAGGAGTCGGCGCCGTTCAGTCACGGCCTGGCTCTTTCTGGCTGCTGTGTTGAAGAGAGGCCGTGGGGCCAGCGGGAGCAGTGCCCGCTGCGGACGGGCTCTTACGGTAACGCCAGCTGGGAGTTGGCGGTGGGCGGGGAAAGCCTCGCAATAGTAAGAACTTGGTGCCGAGGGGCCAGTCAAGAACCCTCTGGGCGTCCTGATGGATGGGAGCTTTGCCAGTCCTGCGGTTCGCAGCGCTTGGGGTCTCTGTGCGCGAGCCGTCGGGCACAGGGTGAGGGCTGGGTCAGCTGCTTCCCAGAGCCGCCTCTGCGGCTCCTAGGGCTGCTCAGTCCTCCTGCGGAGACACTTCGGGTTCTTGCTTCTAGTCCTCAGCCTGCAGCGCTGTGTGACCATCTCAGAGCCGCCGACGCCGCTGCCGTCCTTTCCCTCGCGGGTTTATGGCCTAATTTTTTTTTATTTTATTATTTATTTGTGCATACAGAACTGGGGTACAGGCCAGAGGCTCAGGGATGGTGAGAGGCTTCACCAGAGACAGAGTGGGGAGCAGAACAGGCAGATCGACGAAGTACACTGCTGAGGGGAGCAGCGGGCGGGTCAGGAGAGGTCTGCCACGCCATGTGGTCACCTCCCGGGCAGGCGGGAATCGAACTCATGCGGAAGCAGCTTTAGATTCTCAGTGCTGTGTTTTTAACCCGCTGCGCCACCAGGGAGGGCCGTATGGCCTAATTTTTAACTCTCAACTCAAGAGGTTTAGGGGAGGAGGAGAGTTGATCATCGGCAATGTTTACGGGGAACCCCTATGTCTGATACTTGAGAATATTCAAGACAAAATGCTCATTTTCATCATTTGTTCCCCAAAATAGCTGAATAAAAGGTAAAAAGGATTTTGGAATACCATCCCTCCACTGGCCACTAAGAATGCCTGCTTTTAGTCCTTCCAAGAGGGAAGAGTACCTTCCACATGTCTGCAGTGCTTACCCTCAGGATTACGTCATCAGTGGGAACAGTCACCAGAGGGTGTGAATCACCTTCGTCGTCTCTCCATTCTCTGAGACTCGCCTGTCTATTTTCTGGATTATTATGATTATTATTATAAATGAGGCCTGCCATCTTGACCCTTCCCTTGACTATAAAGCCAGAGGTGTGACAATAGTAGCAAAAGTCTATTTTTTGAAGTTCTTTTCATTTATAAAGATTCAAAATAGCCCCCCCCTTTTTTTTTTTAAGGACTGGTATATATTGCCTTTAAGTACTCAGAAGACCTTGTTAGCTAACTTAAGTATATTCTAGGTTCTTGGAGGGTGAGAAGCAGGCCCTACTAATTCATTTAATCTCCCAAAGCACCTGACAGCACTTTGCACATGATGAGGCATCCACTCACTGCTTTGTGGAGTTATGCTATATCTTAAACATATAGAAATAGCAAGCCAAGAGCATCTCTCCCCAAATTAGGGTAGTTTAATCTTCCTAGTAAATACCCAGAAATGGGTTGTCTCGTTTTTTTCTGAATTGGTACTGGGAGTTCAGTCACCCAAGACTTAGCTTCCCAGTCCTAATCACTACACACGTGCACCTGTGCAGGTGTCCACCTGGGCCCCAGCGAGCACCGCCTGACAGTCCCAAAGGAATCTGGTGATACCGAAATCCCTGTGGTGTACTCACAGCCGTGTTGGGCTTCCTAGGGAGAGCAAGGGAATTCATCGCTGCTTTCCGAGGCTGCCGTTCTGCAGTGGCACCATTCTGGGGTGATGTGGAGCGGGGGGCTCTCTGAGACAGGCCATGGAGCTGGCCGCCC